CCGCCAAGTGAGGTCTTTTCGCTCAGGGATTCAACATACTTGTTTTGAAATCTGAAATGTCCCTTTCCTCCCTTGGTATAGTCTAACTGCCTTTCATTTATGTCAACTATCATTTATATCAAATATCAACTGTCTTGTGGAGAGGCAGGGTGACATTAATGGGATTGGGATTGTTGCTACAATATGTGACTTAAGTGAGAGGAATACAATATAAAAATCCCACTCCTCCCTATTGTAATACATTATATTCTATTTCCTCTCATTGAAAGCCACATATTGTAGCAACGATCCCAAGCCCATTAATGCTCCAGAAAATGAAGAACTTTGTTTAAAGTAAAGACTATTCAAAAGCACATATGACCAATGCAACTATATAAAAGCCCTGAAATCCTTAGTTAAGCCGACAACATGAATTTACCATTTCAACTTCACCTCTTGTTTTCACCACTAACCTATGCTGCCTCTGCACAAAACATGCACATTTGAACTTTGCTCATCTGGAGTAGTTAGAAATTAATAATGTTTTCTAGTTGTTTGGAATGTTCAGTTGGTAGTGTAGAAGGGAGCTTGGGGTAGGAGACTAGGGTGCAGAAGAGAGTGTGAGATCTGAGAGGGAGTTTGTGTGAAGCGTGGGGGTGGGGGGGTTGTGACCTTGGGACAGGGAATTGGAGTGCATGGTTTGGTAGGGGGTTTGGGTGCAGGAGAGGATTCTGGCCTACAGGAGGGCTGTAGAAGGAGAGTTGTGACCTGGGGCAGGGGATTGGATGAGTGGGAAGGGGTGGGGTGCCAGAGGCAGGTTTAGGTAAGCACCTCCCAGCCAAAGTAGCTCCTGGCCAGCAGCACATTCAGGCAGGCGTCCTCCCACCCAGCAGTCCCAGACTGCTGGCTGGGTGTGCACATGACTCTCTACAGTGCTGGAATGGGGGAGAGAGGGAAAAGCTTTCCACATTGCTGTTTTTGGCCAATAGTAGTTGAGAGACTTTGCTGGTGGTAGGTAGAGCAGGCTGAAGCCTTTCCCTCCCTCTCCGCACCGCAGAGCCAAAGGAAGCAGCTAGCAGATTTGAGCAGCGTTGCTCCCTGCCACGAAGGCGGGCGCAGGCTGGATCAAAAGGCTTGGGCAGGCTGGATTCGACCATGGGCCATATCTTGCCCGACTCTGAGTGATGGTCAGTTTTTTGTTGTTTTTGGAACATTTTTTGGTCACAGTTAAGGTTGCATTTTTTGGTGGAGATGGTGGAGAGAGGCATATCTTGTAAGAAGCAAATGGTAGGTGATCTTGAGTAACCTTAACTGGTTTTTAATAAAGCATTTTTATTACTTTTTAAAAGAAATCTCTATGAATGTTGATAGTTACTAGCTCGTAGCAAAATTAAGTTTGATATACCATTGGTGTGTTTGTGGTTTTTTTATGTTTTTTTTTTTAAAGTCACTTATTTTTCTTTGCAGGCAAAACCACTCTAGCTGACTGTCTGATATCTAGCAATGGAATAATCTCCAACCGATTGGCAGGAAAGGTACAGATATAATCCAATATCATTAATGAGTGGAGTTCTTAAGAGTTCCTATAAATTTTCTTTCCCTTTTCACATTTAAAAGAATAGTTTAAGAAAATGTCTCAATACAAATTTATCACTTCTTTTTTGGTCTTTTATTTTAGCTGAGATATCTAGACAGTAGAAAAGATGAGCAGATCAGAGGAATTACTATGAAATCTAGTGCTATATCACTGCACTTTGAAAAAGGTAATGTGAATATGTTACACAAAAATGTACAAACTAATGTGGGTTGTTGGGTTTTTTGCTTTCTTTTCTTTTCATTTTAGCTTTCAAGTTTTTTTCTGTGGTTAACTCCACTGGATCTCTTCCATGTCTTTGGTTCTGCAGAGATTTACATTTTGCAACTTTATGCTTTTATTCATTCTAATTAAAAACAAAACCACAGTTTTACCTGTCTGTGGTGCACATGTATTAATTAATTTAGTGGGACCCACTTGTGCTTAAAGTTCCGGATGTGAAAGAGTCTTTGCAGAATTAAGGTCTAAATCAGACAAATGTAAACATTTATAAGAAATAACATCATATAACCAGTGTTCAGCATATCTTTTTTCATTTTGTAGTCTGCTTTCCAAGTGAATTGTGGGTGAAAGGATCACTGCTTAATAACAAACAAATCCAATGTATGTGAATATGTAACACAGCGCATAAACTAACTGAATCTTCCTCACTAAAATCCCCTTAAAATTGGCATGTTTTCTCTACTGAATATTTCAAGAAGAATCATGTGGAACTGAACTGTTCTTTCTTTCCTGTGTGGTGGAAGCATGTTGGTTGGAACAGTATTCGGAAGTTTCTGCCTCTACTGTAACTGTTCTGTGGATGGTTGGAACTTGTTTTTATGCTACTTTTAACTGTATAGCTAGAAGTGGTAGATAGGATGATACGATCTCTGTTCTCAGTGTTGAGGAAACTCTCCATATGCAGAGAAATAATTTTTAATGAACCTTTTTATTTATCTAAGATTGCTAAACTCAGAAATAACATCAGATTTTTAATAAGTTGGCCACAGTTTAGAATAATTAACCTTTTGGTAGAATGGTCGTAGGCAAATTCTGCATGCGTACTACAGTACCCAGGGGGTGCTGGATTATCAGATATGCCGGAGTACCGGAAGGGGGGCTATGAAGGGTTGGGGGGAGGAGGTCGGCGGGAAACTGCGCAGCGTGTGAGAGGGCTGTGCTGCAGGACCAACCTGGCAGAACCCCAGCTGCTCTGCTCCTGGCTTCTCCAAGTCCACCCCTGGTCATTTTCAGCAGCGGCTGATTTGGGGAAGCCAGAGGCAGAGCAGCTGGAGTGCTGCTGGGTTGGTCCTGCAGTGCCGCTCAAGTGAGGGGTGGCGCTGTGGGACCAACCCGGCAGCACCCCAGCTGCTCTGCCCCCGCTGTGGAGACAACGGAGCCCTCAAGCAGTCCCCTGCTGGCCCCATGTTCCCTGCGACGTTTCAAAGCGGCAACACTGCATGGCTCCCAGGCTGACCCTGGGTTCCATGCGGCGCTGCCACTTCGAAATGCTGCGAGGAGCCCAGTGTCAGGCTCCATGTGACATTTTGGATATATAGAATTTTTCCTAATTGGATAATTAGGTTATATTTCACTAAACTTAGTTAATGTTCACCTATTCCGTAGTGATGTAAAATTTTGATTAATTAGCTAATCGAATAGTTGATGTGATTTGCATCAACTATTCAATTAGTCAATAAATGTGCCAGGGCTGTTGCTACACTTCAAAGGCAAAAGTGCTGTGGAGACAACGGAGCCCTCAAGCAGTCCCCTGCTGGCCCCATGTTCCCTGCGACGTTTCAAAGCGGCAACACTGCATGGCTCCCAGGCTGACCCTGGGTTCCATGCGGCGCTGCCACTTCGAAATGCTGCGAGGAGCCCAGTGTCAGGCTCCATGTGACATTTCAAAGTGGCAGCATCACATGGAGCCTGGTGTCAGTGAGGGAGTCCGCAGCTGACCCTGGGCTCCATGTGGCGCTGCTGCTTTGAAACATCGTGTTGAGCCCAGAGCCACCTGGGGGCTCTCAGCTGGCCCTGGGCTACACTAAGGATGTTAAATATCAGTTAACTGAATAGTTGAGTAATCTCACGAATTCTTATTGGTTACTCAACTATTCTATAGTCCCCGGAGGGTGTGGCCAGTACACTTGGCCCTCACATCGAGGAGCCCTCTGCCACTTCATGCTGCTGCCTGATAGAGAGGCAGCAGAGTGGGGTGTCAGGCAGGAGCTGATCCGCAAGGGGTGACAGTTTATAAACCAGTTCCCCTTGCAGACAGGCTGCTTGTTGCCCAGTGCTGCTGCCTCTGATATAAAAGCAGCAGCACGGGGTGGCAGCAACTCCTGTTTAGGAGATGTCTGAGCTCCCGCACCTGGCGTGAGCTGGAACTGAGGTTGGCTGCCTGCCCATACTGCTCCTAATACACTTCATATGTAGAGCCATAGCGGCGGTAGGTCACGGACCCAGCATGAGCCAGGACTGAGCCAGGCTGCCTGCCCGCCCAGCTGCTAATACTCTTTAAATGCAGAGCTGCAGCAGGGTAGGTCCCAGACCCATCACAAGCCAGGAGTGAGCTGGACTGCTAAAACATTTATTGGGGGGGAGGGGAGGAATGTGTGTAGTCTATAGCAGTGTTTCCCAATTGGTGCTCTCCTGCCCCCTCTTAAAGTGACAGAGTCTGTTTTGTTTTGTTTTTTTCCTTCTCCTTCTCAACAAATTTTCTCCCCGGCTGTACGGGTTCCTCGAAATTCTTCCTAGTTTAAAAAGGTTCTGTGGCCAAATAAAACTGGGAAACACCGGACTATAGAATTAAGCTGTAAGCTTTTTCTTATCAGTTAATTGGTTAATCTACTACACTATTACATCCCTAGCTACACACAGCATTTCAAAGCAGCAGCGCTGGATGGAGCCCAGGATCTGGACCCGGGCTCCACATGGCACTGCCACTTTGAAGCACCCCTGTTTCCCTCCCTCTCCCCTCTCGCTGCCTCTTTCTGAGAGAGGCAAGCAAGGGGAGAAGTGACTAGTCAACTAGCATTTGCTTATCGGATAGTTAACTAGTTGGTCACATCCCTACTATTCTGAGTAAATGATGCTGCTATATTAGCATTAGAGTGATAAATGCTTGTGGAATTCTTTGCTGTGTTTTTGGATTTTTTTTTAATAGTAAAAGCATGCCTATGTCAACTGATTATAGATGAAGTTACTCAACAAAGCTTAGGCTTATTTTGAAATAATACATCTGCACTGCAGGGAAGCCTCAAAATCAGTCTGAGGCAGGCTTCCCTAATGTAGACATGCTATCTCGGTTTAGAGCTCTAGGAGGAATAACTTAGAATGGCCCTGTGAGGGTGGCTAGTTCGAAATAGCAGAGGTGAAGTGTCTACACACACCTTATTTTGAAATAGGAGTTAGTCTTCCTAGAATGAGGTTTACATAAGTCAGAATAAGCCGCTCATTATTTTGAAATAACAGAATTGCTGTGTAGACACTCATAGTTATTTTGGAGTATCAGCCATTATTCCGAAATAACATTGCTGTGTAGACACACCCTTGTAGTGCAGAGTGACCACAGGGAGGTGGTTCTACCAGGAAAAGAATGGCCGGCTGGGGCTGGGGCTTGGGCTCTCCATATTGCTGGCCACTGGCCTGGGTAAGCGCCAGATGGAGGGGAGTTGCCAGCTGGGGACAATGCAGCCCCGCTCACCCCAAGAGGTGCACCAGTGGGGCTGGGCACTGCAGCCTCCCTGATGGAGCTAGTGGCCAGGACTGGGCTACACAGCCCCAGCTTTGCTTCTTCCCACCCAAGGAGCTGCTGGCTAGAGAGAGACAGCTCAGCCTTGGGCATCCCAGGGAGCCACCGTTGCTGCAGAGCCCTTGAGGCCTTCCTGCCCTGAGCCCTCAAACCTGAGCCCCCACCCTGTGCTTACTCTTGCATCCCCACCTTAAGCCCCTCCCAGTCCCCTGCCCTGACTCTTGCACTCCTACCCATTGCCCTGAATCCCCACCCCTTGTCCTGACTCCTGCACTCCCCTCACATCCAACATCCTGCCCTGATTCTTGAACCCAACCTCTGCACTGACTCCTGTACCCACCATTCCCTGTCCTGAGCCCCTGCACAAGAGGCTAGGGCCTCTTGCCACCCTTTCCGTGACTCCTGCCCTCTCCACTCTCTTCCCTGAGCCCCCACAAATATCTGAGCAATCCTGAGTAAATCCTCTAGTCATAAATATATTAAGAAGAGCTGCATTATAGTGATATTAGCATCATTTGGGAGGTAGCTGAAGAGTCTCAATTGAGGTTGGGCTCAGTTTCCTTTAGAGGGCCATCTACCCTGTGACAATTGGTTTGAGCACTGTGAGACTGTGGAAATGTTACACAAAACAAACCTTAAGATTAGTTTCAAATGAAAATTATAGAATTTTGATGTGTCTAACTCCACAAAAATATTGAAAAATGTCTGAATAATGATGAAGAATATATGCTGCTAGTATACTGAGGAATTCTGAAATCTTTTTGGTAATTCTATGATATATATTATTTGAACATTTAAGTTCTGGCTCAAAGTTGTCTTGTTAAAAGGCACTTTAAAAATAAGTTTTCAGTTCATTCAATTTTGAATTTTTGGATATCACAAGTGCACTTTATCCCTGTAAGTGATAGCTACCTGTGTCTATCTTTACATCAGAGGTAGGGAACCTTTTTTGGGTTGGGTGCCGCTGTCCCCCAGAAGCATCAGTTGGGGGCTGCATAAAAGTGAAAAACAAAAACACAAATTTCATTGTAGGGCTGTAAAATTTTGATTATTTGGCTAATTGAATAGTTGATGCAATTTGCATCGACTATTTGATTAGTTGATAAGGGAGCTAATCAGCCCCTTCAGAGGTGAAGGCGCTTCAGGGAGCACAGGGCCAGCGGGGGACTCAAGCAGTTCCCAGCTGACCTTGGGCTCCATGAGGCACAGCTGCTTTGAAACGATGTGTTCAGCCTGAGCTGCATGTGGCATTTCAAAGTGGCAGTGCTGTGTTGAGCCTGGCATCTGGTCTCAGGCTCCACACAGTGCTGCGGCTTTGAAGCACCCCCGCCTTGCTGCCTCTTTTTGATAGAGGCAGTGGAGGGTGGGGAGGAGCTACTCGTCGACTAGTATGTTGACTATCCCATAAGCATTTGCTCATTCACATCCCAACCTCATTGACATACCCCCGACTGAGAAGGAGAAAGATGCTCCTCACATGCCTGGGGGGGCGGGGCAGACTAGTATATTTTTGTGGGGCCCCTAGGCTCTGGGGTAGAGTCAAAAATGAGGGGTTCAGCATATGGGAGGGAGCTGTGGGGAAGCAAGCTTGGAATGCAGTGTTTGAGTGGAAGGGAGAGCACAGTAGCAGGCTGGGAGGGGAGCCCTGAGTCTTGGGGGCCATATCCAGGCAAGCCAAGGACGTGTTCGTCTCCTAGGCGTTAGGTTCCCCACTGCTGCTTTACTTCTGCAGTGGCTATCTTGACTCAGTTACAGAGTAATTTTTGTTCCATTAATTATAATTTAATGCAGTAATAGTTAACATGCATCACTTTTTAGCGAAACTTGTTCTTAAATACTCAGTCTGTTCTCTCTCATACATATTTCTGCAATTTTGGCCAAGCTTAAAAAACTAGTTAGGAAATTCCTGTAATTAAGTCAAAGTACATAGAGAGCTAGAAAATATACCTAGCATTGCCTGGGTCCTTCAGGGCAGGGGTCTGGGTGGTGTGAGGAGTGCAGGAGTCAGGGCAGGGCCTTGGGAATGTGGGGGGCTCCGGGCAGAAGGCCAGGGGCATGGGAGGGGTGGCCTCTGGCTTCTCCCCAGTGGTGGCCCAGGTTAGTGGTGACTGTGCACCCTGCCCACTGACTTGTCCCCAGGAACCACGAGGACCTCTCTCCCTCCCACAGCCTGGCCTGGGGTGCAGAGGGAGGCTCTCCCCCATACCTCATAGGCCAATGTGAGGGTGGAGGCTCTCACTCTCTCTGGCCCCTCCAGAGGCAGGGGGAGGGCCGGCAGAAGCTGTCTCGTAGGCTGGGGGCCCTACTTACCTTATCTGCATGCAGGAAATATGGCAGGGCCCCTGTTTTGCTGACCACTCTGGTTGGTGTATGACTGCCCCCAGTGGCCACTCTGCAGGATAGCTCTCCCCTGCAGGCTCGCTGCCCCCGGTCATTCTTCTTTTGTGTTCCTCGGAACAGCAACCCCTCCCTTTGCATGTTATGGAAAATTGTCCCTTTCCCAAAACTTCTGGTTCTCCTTGCCCAACCAAACCCTGACCTTGTTTTAAGTTAAGAGAAGAGGAAGCTACATACCAAATTTGGTGGCCCTATCTGTTACCGTTTAGGACGAGTTCTAGAACAAATGGACACACAAACAGACATATATGCACAAACACTCTAAAATATTATTATATATAAACAGCTAAAAGCCACTAAAACTAAGTATGCTAATTCTTTCAAGTGCAATTAACATTGTTCAGGAATAAAAGTGATAGATAAACCTAACTTTTTTCCTTATCAAGGCATGATAAAGATTCCTGGTTAACATATCTTGTTCAAAGTGGTGTTGTAGCTCTTGTTAGTCTCTTTAGGCTTATGCAGGAGTGTTGCCTAACTAATTTTGTTTACTTGGATGGTGTCTTCAGGGATACGTCTTATACTGGAGCCACTGCCTGAGAGTTTAAATTTGTGTTTGTTTGTTTGCTTGCTTAAGTATTAGTTCTGTTGCTGAGGAGTGTGGTTTGGATTTCTGTTTTACAAATGTAGATTTGTGATTTCAAATTTTTTTTGGTGGTCTTTCTCTTTCACTTGTCCCATTGAAGAGCCATAAAATGGTGTGGGTCAGGAAAGAGTTCATGAGTCCTTAATTAGAAAAACAATCTTTCTAGTTCAAGTTAAGGAAGGGTATCATTCATATCAGGGTAAATGTCCTGAGATCTGTTAGGCTGTGGAATAGTCTCCCAAGGCTTGTAGTAGAGAAGAGGTGTCCTCCGAAGGCTAGTGTTAAAAAATTTTCTCTTGGGATGTGTGAAATGAAGGTGGGCAAAACACTGGTGGTGAACAGACCTATTCTACTGGGGAGTTGGATTAGATGGCATTAATCCTTTATTTGCTTTTTTCTATCTAGTAGGAACATTCTAAATTAAAATGGCTGAAACTGGTTATAATATTGCACTATATATTTTCTTTCAGACTTTATTAAAAGAAGGTATTAAATATATTACTGTATCTAAAATAAAAATAAGGATGAGTAGGTATGGAATTTTAATGTTCAGGGTGACTTTTAATAGTGAATGACTGAAGTCTAATTTTTTTTTTAATGAAGTCTAACAGCATCATGCAAATGTTTTCTTTAAGCTTTGAGGAAAACTTCTTTCAGTTATTGTTATCGTAGAAACATTCTCATCCAGTATTTTCATACACATTTTAACTTGGTGACTGTACATGAAAAGTAGACATTAAAACTAACTTGGCTATATTGTCATTTCTCAGCTGAGAAGAGTGGAAAAATGAACGATAACAGTACATTTAATAAATTTTTCCTTTTTGATACGTTAAAGATACGTTAATGAAAATTGTTTTAAAAAATGTAACCTCTACCTAAAGTGATATTTCAGCAATTTATCTTTCAAGAGTAAAGGATTGACTTTCAAGGAGAGCTGTTCCTAGTATCTTTCAAACACAGATTTTAATAGGGTTGTCCAGTGTTTTGGCTATGTGTATTCCAAAATTGGTATGCTTTTCTACTAAGCCACATAGGGCCAGATATTCAAGGGTACTTAGTGCCTAAAGATGCAGTTAGGCACTTATCGTGATTTGCAAAAGCATGTAAACAGGTATCATTGTGAGTTAGTTCCTAACCTGGAATTTTTAAAAGAGCCTATCTACTTTGTTGTCTAAATATCTTTGACAATGAGGTTCCTGGTGTCCTTGCTTATATTAATGTCTATAGCTAAGTGATGGACATAGAAACTTTTATACCGGTAAGTCACTTTCAGTATTTCAAAGTAAATTTTCGTTTGATTCTAGGTGATCAGGAGTATCTCATTAATCTAATAGACTCCCCAGGGCATGTGGATTTCTCTTCAGAAGTATCAACTGCTGTCCGACTCTGTGATGGGTGTATCATAGTGCTGGATGCTGTAGAAGGAGTCTGTCCACAGGTGATTTATTTAAAAAAAATGATTGAGAAAGGATGGAGATGAGAGACTAGACAAAAATGGTTCTGTTTAGCTGTTTTAAATACATTTAAAGAGAAGAGACATACAAACCAATAGCCAGAAGTTCTGTAAAATGCTAAGCTCAGTCAATAAATTTATATATTGCATATGAGGTCTGATTTACTCCTGAATGACTGAGAGATTCGCTTTGTGTCCATGAATATATTGAGTTAGTGTTGCCTTGGTATTGGAGATACAAATACATGCTCTCACTGGCAAGGGAGTATAAAGAAGAGATAAAAGTAAAGGGAGGGGGCATAGATTTTTTTTAAAGGTTTTTTTTATTTCAGTATATTTTAAAAAGAAAAATTATCCAAATAAAAGACTATCTCTAGTAAATTTATCCTCCTATTATTATAAGAAGTGTTTTTAAAATCTATATTATAAAAATTCTTTCTATCCCATAATTGTGTAACTATGTATTTTGGAATACAATCCATAAATATTTAGAATCAGAGGTTAAACATATATTTATTTACATTTTGCTTCCATACTTAGTGTTTTTCTCCTAAACTTTGTTAGATATTAATTTTGTGATCTTAGGGGTTTCCTTAACTGTGTTAACACTTTATTTTCTTTCTAAGACTCAAGCTGTTCTGCGACAGGCATGGCTAGAAAATATCCGTCCAGTCTTGGTGATTAATAAAATTGATCGTTTGATAGTGGAGCTTAAGTTAACTCCTCAGGAAGCATATTCTCACCTTAAGAATATCTTAGAACAGGTATGAGTCTTTGCACTGCAATATTAAGACAATCAATTTTGTAGTTTTTTTTTTTCTTTTTTTTTGCCAGTAGTCTAATAAGGATGCTGCCTCTTTCTATCCTTTTTTATTTGGAATAAATATGCTAAATGTAGTAAGAGGTAACCATTTCATTACCTTCTCATAATCATTACATTTAACCTTTTTACAGAAACATATGGTTATTTAATATCTATTTCTCTTTACCTTTCTGGGCATTTGTAACATACACAGTTCGAAAAAGAATATTGAATTCTTTTCTACAACCCAGCAGGAGGCATTCTCATGTTGTTAATGGAGTATCTCAGAGATCTGATAGATCATGGGTACCCAAACTGGAGGGCATGCCCCCCTGGGGGGACGTGCAGAAATTCCAGGAGGGGCATGAAGTGACCCAGCCCCTCTCCCCCCCGCCCCAATCAAGTTTTGCTGCCCCAGTCAGGTTTTTTTGCTCAAGTTTTGCTGCTTTTTTGGTGGCGGGGGGGAGAGGGAGTGAGGGTTTTTCAAAAATCAGAAGGGGCTGTGATGCCGAAAAGTTTGGGAACCACTGAGATAGATATAATACATTTTTGAAAGCCCCTATTTACTATGGATTGTTTGAGTTCTTTGGAGTTGAAATAACAGTATATGTATGATGTCAGAAATACTGACTTCTTGATTTGGGTTTGGAATTTAATCCACCAATAACATTGTTAAATAGTTAAAAAGAACTAAATAAATTCATGGAGGTTAGGTCCCTCAATGGCTATTAGCCACGATGGGGAGGGGTGGTGTCCCTAGGCTCTGTTTTTCAGAGGCTGGAAATGGATGACAAGAGAGGGATCACTTGATGATTAGCTGTTCTGTTCACTCCCTCTGGGGAATCTGGCATTGGCCACTGTTGGACGACAGGATGCTGGGCTAGATTGACCTTAGGTCTGACCCAGTATGGCCGTTCTTATGTACTTTAGAGGTGTAGGCAAGTAGTTGACTACTCGCTTCCCCACCCCTTGCTGCTTCTGTATGAGACAGCAAGGGGGCTGCTGGGCTCTTACTACATTTTAAATGCAGAGGCTCAGTGGTCCCAGAGTGAGCTTCCCCTTATCAGCTAATTGTGTAGTTCATACAAATTGTATCAACTACATTAATAACAAAATACCCGTTCCTTAACATCTTTTATGTACTTAAGTCATGTTGAAACATTTAATTCTAAATTGATTTTTCATTAAAGGTTTGATAGAGGTCATATCCTCCTTTTTGTTTTTATTTGTTACTTATTTTCTCATTGTGAAAAAGAATAAGGTTTTTTTTAGATGAGAACTAAATAATTAAATCCCATTAAGACTAGATATGATTTGTAAAGTATTCCACACTGGGTAAAATCCTGGCCCCATTGAAGTCAATGGTACAACACCCACTGAGTTCATTGTGGTTAGGATTTCATCCACCAATGTCGGTATATTAACTTTTTTTGCCAAGCTTATGCAAGCTGCTTTTGGATGTTTAAGCACCAATCACATGATTAGATAATTAAAATCTTCTTTTGAAAAGAGTGCACAAGTTGTTCACAGTCTTTTAGAGCAGTGTTTCTCAACCATTTTTTATAAAGTACCCCTTTAAAAAAAAGTTATAAGAACCTCCAGTACCTACAGTTTTTAAACACAATTTTATTTTTTTACCACTGCAACACATTTGTTTAAACAAATGTGTTGCAGTGGTAAAAAAATAAAATTGTGTTTAAAAACTGTAGGTACTGGAGGTTCTTATAACTTTTTTTTAAAGGGGTACTTTATAAAAAATGGTTGAGAAACACTGTTTTAGAGCACAAACTATACATTTCTGTGGTTTTACATATTCTTCCCTAGGTTAATGCAATCACTGGAACTCTTTTCACCTCTAAAGTCCTAGAAGAAAGAGCTGAGAGAGAAACAGAAACTCAGGGGATTTCAGATTCTGTACATGGAGATCAAGTTTATGATTGGAGTGCTGGCTTGGAAGATACTGATGATTCACATCTTTATTTCTCGCCAGACCAGGGAAATGTGGTATTTGCCAGTGCAATTGATGGTTGGGGCTTTGGGTAAGTAAATAAGACTAGGATTTCATTGAAATGTCATTTACCATATTTAATACTAAGATATATTTAATTCTAAGGCAGTTGAACAGTCTTTTGAATTGGTTTAAGTATTTTTAGAGGTAAACATTTTGTATTTTTCAATTGGATGCGAGAGTGGAATAGTTTGTTTTTCCCCAACACTTCAGTTCATGTCCTTGAAATAATCAGTGTTTTGATTCTTGGCAGTTACAGTTCTGATGATTTTATGTTCTTTCAAAAAAAAATTTTTTTCTACTGTGATGTTTAATTTCTGCCTTCTATGTTTCTGCATGCACACAAATTTCATATTTGTTCTCTTGTAACCTTCTGTGAAGTTTTCCTTTTCTATTTCAGCAGATACTTACACATCAGTTATATAGTGATGGCAGAAATATTACATTCAGTCATAAGAAATCAAGCATACAGCAGCTATAGAAAGCATAGAATTACATATTTCATAGTGTGTTGTTAAGGATATATGTGTGTTAAATTTCTTTACTTACTTATGTTAAATGCCTCTTTTAGCTTCTTGTTTCAGAATAGATAGTAGGTCATAAAGATTTGTAAACATTCTGATTTCCACAAGGTGGAGTGCTTGTCTTTGTCTTTAACATGTACCTAAAGGGGTACTGCCCGTTAATTTTGATTCAAAATTTATATTTTTGACGATTTGACAAAATTAAATTCCAACGAGTTTTTTCTTTTAAAGAAAGAAAAGTTAAAACTGGTCTTTTGTTTAGATTTAATTAGTTCCTTTTGGAATTTGTGCTCTATGCCACTGCATAAGAACTAGAAAGCAAACTCACTGCTTTAGTTTCATTATTTACTCAGAATAACATGCGGGAAGTAAACTAATAGTATAAATGGTGCAAAGGACATTAGATTTTTTTCACTTCTCAATAATCTAAATTTGTGCTAGCCACGTTGCAAGAAATTTGTTAATTGTTTTTGAGCTGACTATCCCTCTGATTTTCACTATACAATGGAAATAACTTTTTTATTAGTAGTACTGCAATTCCAATATTTAATGGTAGGATCCTGGTGCTATGCCTCTTTCCTCTACACCAGGGGTGAGGAACTTCAGGCCTAGACGCTGGATGCAGCCCCTGGTTTGTCTGGATTTGACCTCCGAGGCTCAGGACCCTCTCTGCACTGGGGAGCCTGTGCTGGTGCTCCAGCTCCCTGGCTGCTCCACCATGGGGCTAGAGCATACAAAAACTACTAAGCTGGGCCCCCCCTTGGCTCTGGGAATGTGGGGCGTGTCTTTCTCCTTCTCAGTTAGACTGTATCTTTCTTCAGCAGTTCTCAAAATACTTTATTAATATACCAAAGTAATTAAACAATTTACAGCTTTTATGGTTGTAATATTAGCAAGAATTTAATAATTTTTTTTTAAAGATTAAAAATCAGGTTTCAGGTTTTTAGAAATAAGTCAACATAATTGCATAGTATTAGTATGTGTTAAATATTTTTATTCATAATCTTTTCAACCACTGAGTGGTAAATAGCAATGTAAAAATCTGTTCCTTAAATAAGACGCTACAGTGGTTCGCTAACAAAATAAAAAGCTGAAAGTTTGAGCCATTTAAGAGCTTTCTCTTTAGCTCAGACTGCTTGTTTTTTCTAACTAGAACAGTGTTTGCTAATGTCTCATAAATTATGTAACCACTTTTCTGAAGCTGATTGTGATCATAAAGCCACTACGATTGTTAAATGGAAAGATGAACATGTCTTGTACATCAATGTTGGGTGAATGACGTGCTTTTTGATCAAATTAATGCTATATATGGTCTGATATTTTTTATTCTTCTGTTGCATTTATAATTCCTTTGAAGATGGTTTGTATGCAAACATTTCAGAAAAATATATGTATTTTATTAACACAAATAACTGTTATATGAATATGGGATGACCCCAGTCTTCAAGGTTTGACACAGGAAAAAAACACCGATAGACTTTCAGGGACCACTTGTCATATTTCATTCTTGATGTAGCATTGATTAATACACAGAGAATGTTGTCGAACCAAAGATTAGATGACATGAAGGGAAAGTGTTCATAACAATACATTTATGTGGGAATTTTTAAGGCTACACAGGATGGAAATAGTTGAAAGGAGTGCTGATTGAGATTGGAGCTACAGTGCATAATATTTTTTTCTCAGGTACTAGCTTGGTGTACGGTTTTTTTTGTTTGTTTGTTTCAAATCAGTTAACATTTGATACGTAGCAAAAAAGTATTTCTGTTAGTAGAAAGTTCAATGGGTTTTTACGCTTTCTTGGTCACATGCATGGTGATAAAATTAAATCTAGTCAGATAGGGAGAAGAGGAGTTGTGTTGGTCTGTGTTCACTTGGTATTTGTTATGGGCTTGTTCTTGTGTATGTTAAATATAAGTTGAGGTGCTCAGAGCTTTGGATGTGAGGGTAATGAAAGCCTGAAATGTAAATAAATAATAACAAGCTGATTTGTTGTTGTTTAAGCTTCCCAATATGACCTCTGCTCATTTTGTGCATTTGATACATTGTTATGTTAGAAAGAATAGAGAAGCTTTCTGATTATAATATGGCAGTATAATATAGGGATATGAAAGGATAACCGCTAGGGAAGTTAAAATGCTTTTTTTGGTAATTGTGTAACTGCTAAAATTTTTCATGGTTACACCTTTACACGTGGTGGGGGGGCAGCTCTACAGGAGTTGGTGTGCATAGAAAACCAGCATTTTAGCTGTATCCCCACATGTACTAGTTCTCGGGAAGCTGCTTGCTTCCGCAGCAGCAGCGGGGAATGGGAAGAGCAGCAGGTGGGAGACGGTGCTCACGAAGAGCTTGCTTTTAAGCAGCCTCCCCTCACGTACCGGTTCCTGTGGATCTGCCTGCCTTCCCTGTGCTGCTACCTCTGATACAGCATGTGGGGAGGGGGATAGGCAGGCGGCTCCCTGTGAGCACTGGCTACTACCTGCTTCTCCCCTTCCCCCCACTGCTGCCCCTGATACAGAAGCAGCAGCATGGAGGAGGGGCTTGTGTGTAACCATGAAGTTAACTGATGAGCCCAGCTTCATTGGTTAACTGTTTAAATGTGTACATGAAAATATTCTTAATGCTTACCAGTTCAGTTTGAAAAATAGTCCCAAGCTGGTTTGCAAAAGACAGTACAACTCAATGTTAAGATTCCCCACATATTACATTGATGGATTACTAAAATATAGAAACTTTTTCCTTCTGTTTTAAGACTTGATATTCTTAGTGAGTTGTATTTTGGATTCTCCATATACAGAACAGTCAGCCAAGGGAGCACTTCTGGAGCTCATGAGTCTCATGTTGGAATCTTATTTGATTTACATCATTTTTTTCTTTCTTATATCTATATATAAGTAATAGAATAGCTTCTGTTATTTTGTTCTCTGAAGTATACAACTTCCTACAGCTTAAACTAAACAGTGATGCTGTTGTCTGCAATAGTTTCCTGATGAATTGCAGCTTATTCTGTATTTCTTTTCTGTATCATCAGAAAAATGCTTATTGTTTTTGCTGAAGTTGGATGAAAACTGTTTGGATGAAAGGACCGTTTTTTGTGGGGGGTTTTAAACTTTTATTTTCTTTTTTTAGTAGCTAGCATGGTCTGGTTTAGAGATGGCAGTGGTAGAAATTCCATTAAATGAAAAAAGGAATGTTTTCTTCTTAATTAATCTCAGGAGAATCTGTCTAGGCTGCCAGCATGACCATCTGGTGAAATGTGGATCAATGAAGCATTTGCTTAATGAAGGCACGTTGGGGCTGTTATAATGTTTTGTGGTACTATTCCTAAGGAGATTCCATGTTTTCATGGTAGAGTAAATGAAGTCATTAGATAGCGTTAGCCTGATCCAGTGTTGAGAATGACACATCTGCTTTTCTCATCAAGTACAGGTTTTGAAAGGATGTAGTAAATCTATATACTGCAGACTTTGACATTCAACAAATTCTGAGGGTTTTTTCCGCTTCCAAAGCCTTAGGGTGAGCTTCTGGAAAAAAAAGTACATTTTTGAAATTTTTTCAGAGGCATAACTTATATGTTACTGATTTGGGCAGGTTATTAATGTCTTTCATTAGGAGAGTCAAGTCCTAACTAGCTAGCAGCCTTTATGAATTCCAAAGATAGATTATTGGATACTAGTATGGTATAAATAGCATTGCCCTCATCTTATACACATGTATACATTTGACTATGTCTCCTCTCTATATAAAATCTAACTCTTATTTCCTCTGTTTACAAGGATTAATATACAAACTACAATGTAGAAATGAAAGTTTTACAGTTATTTCTCTCTCCCTTCTTAGTGTTTAAAGTGTTTTTTATTGAAAAGATAGCCTTTTGGGTACAGTGGATCAAATTAGAAGTAAATTAGCAACACTCATTTGATGCAAAATAGATGTATCCTTTTTATTAAAATATATCAGGTAATTATTTAAGTCCTACAAATACCAGGAAAAACTGCCCCAAGTGTGAGGTAAAATGTGTGGTTTTGTGTGTGTTTTTTAATAAAACATGTTTTGTTTTGCCTTTTCCATGAGTGTACTTTTTGTATGATCAGAAAGTACAACAGTACTGTGCATTTTAAAAATTGGGAAGCATATTCCATAATAAATGCCAAGAGCAATTTTGAAGAATGTATGATAATGAAATATATACTTAAAGACAGATGTTTTCATTTTATGGCTGACAAAGCTTAACAAGGTTGGCGTAAATCTTCCTGTGAGTATATTATTCAGGTGATCTATGATCTGTAGTAGCTATTGTTTTATTTCTGAATGGGAATTAGGCCATTTCAGCCAACATCTTGCATCTTAAAATGTACCTGTCTGAAAGAGTGCCTCTAGTCTAGGGATGCAAAATCCCATTTAATTGGTTAAGCGGTCAAACATATTGGTTAACTGATTAAAGGGGGGGGGGGAGGGGATGCTCCAGGCTGGCTGGAGTAGCCCTTCTGCCTATTGCTGGGCTGGAGCAGGCATCCTTTCCCCTCTACCCCCCTTCCTCCACTGCTCTGGGCAGGCTTTGCACCGACTGGGCTGGAGCAGCCCTTGCCAACAGCAGACCAGAGCACCTTGCTGGCAGGGACTTCTCCAGTGTTCCGGTCAGAGCAGATGCTGCCTGTGGGGCACCTAGGCCCATTGTGGATAGCTAGAGCAGCCCCTGTCCACGGTTGCTCTCCTGTTGTGTGACAGTGCATTATACAAACATCAGTTACTTTAGTTAAGATATAGGTTCACACTTCAATTTGGCCTTTATTTTAAAAAAGGTTCAAACTAAGGCAGATGTACATTAAATATTATTTTAAAAATTAAGCATCCTGAGTTAAAGAAAAAACAGTAGAAACTGTGGGAGCAAAATAAAAATGCAAGACTACTTATCAACATATGCAATCGTGTGATAGCTAAGTATAATGTTGTGCTTACATATTTGTATCAAGATAGATTTTTGCTTTCTTTTAGCATTGAACATTTTGCAAAATTGTATAGCCAGAAGATTGGAATCAAACAAGGAATACTTTTGAAGACCTTGTGGGGAGATTATTATCTAAATACAAAGGCAAAGAAGATAATGAAGGGTGACCAGGTAATATTGCTGGGTTGAAGTTCCTTTATGACCTTTTTTATCTTTGTTGGAAAGATATAAGGTTTTCTGTCAAATATCCAAGGATTATACATTATCTCATCTGTGGCCTGATATTTTCTAATTCTGTTCCCCGAAGTATGGTTTGAAAATTCTGATGTCAATATGGTTTTGAATTCATATTGCACAAATTGAATTAATAGCCTCCCCTTCATTGCGGCAGCTTTGCCTCAGGAGATTGGTGATAAATCACCTTTTGGAGGAATTCCTCTTGCACAAAGGAACTCTTGAGTATGAGCCAGCATAACACCACCTGCATGCCTCATTTCCATGCCCAATATACAAGGCACACCAGTAGGCAGGCATCAGGGTACAGAGATACTAGCCATGCCTCTATAATGCAAGATGACTGCTGGTGGGTGAGGAAGGGTGTGTAGAAGCCACTATGACAGTTCTATGCTCTTTGTAGATTCCTCTAGCTTTAGAACTGTTTTGCTTCAGGAGAGCATCGTAAAAGTAGCCTCCCAGACTGAAGATTCTTGCCGTATGAGTAACGCCATTGCTTCACGGATTGAATATAGTTTTTTAGCCTAAGGAAAGGGTCCATTGGGGCTGAGAATCTTGAGTTCTCTTGTATGAAGCATTTCCACTATTGTACCTAGGAGAACAGAGGAGTTTTTTCTCCCCACCCATTTAATATCATGATCAGTATTTCAGTCCTCTCTTCTTAAAAATTAAACTTTTGTTCTTTTACTTTTTTGATGGCATTTTGTCCACTAACTTTTCCATTCAAATTAGGGATGTGAAAGACTAGTTGACTATCCAATAAGCAATGTGCTTATCGGATATTAGACAGGATAGTCGACTAGTTGCTCCTCCCCCCTTGCTGTATCTATCAGATAGAGGCAGCAAGGGGGGAGCAGAGCGGGGTACTTCAAAGTGGCAGTGCTGCATGGAGCCCTGGGTCAGCTGTTCCGTGTGGTGCTGCCACTTTAAATTCTGTGGGGAGCCCGACATTGGGCTCCTTGCGGCATTTCAAAGCAGCAGCGCCATGTGATGCCTGGAATCAGCTAGGGACTACCCAGCTGACCCCGGGCTCCTTGCGGCGCTGCCGCTTTGAAACGCTGCCACTGCGTTTCAAAGCAGCAGCGCCTCACAGAGCCAAGGGTCGGGGGGGAGTCTCCAACTGACCCCAGACTTCAGTGCTTTTCACTTCAAAGACGGAGGCGCCCATATTGACTAATTGAATAGGCGATGCAAAAATGTATTGATTATTCGATTAGTCAGTTACCCGATACGTAACATCCTGAATTCAAATTTGATTAAGGTTCTTGAATTACCTCACTTTTATATAAAGATAGCTTACCAACAAAGTTAATTTAATATGACTGGTTTTAAAAGTACTTACGGAGGTAGGTAGTTTAATTGTGCAGACCTATTCATTGTGAAACTGATCAATGCTAAGCTATTGTTTGTGTAATGTTTATTCAGACTTCTAAATATTGTGTTTATTCTTCTAGTCAAAAGGAAAGAAACCTCTATTTGTGCAATTGGTTTTGGACAATATATGGAGTCTATATGAAGCTGTTATGAAAAGGTAGGAGAGGTCCCAATATTCTCTTGGAATCCTTTTCACATGCTGTGTGAAGAGATTAAGGTGGTTGACTATATTCTGATTATAACAATTGAATACTGTAGATGCTTGTTACATATCATTCTGTTTTTATCCCATAGAGACAAAGAGAAAATGGATAAAATTGTCTCCTCTCTGGGATTGAAAATTGGTGCACGTGAGTCACGTCATTCAGATCCTAAAGTTCATCTCAGTGCCATTTGCAGTCAGTGGTTACCCATATCCCAGGCAGTGCTCTGTATCCTTAAGGAAAAAGCTATTCAGTGGTTTATCGGCAGCTCTTAGACTTCAAAGAGTGGTTACCTATGTATTTGTGTAAAGTATTTTTTTCAAAATCTGTGTGTGTGTGTGTGTGTGTGTGTGTGTGTGTGTGTGTTTGTGTGTATATAATATATAGATATTAAAAAAAAGGGATGTCAACATGTAAACAGCTACATGATTAACCAATAAGCCTGGTTTTATTGGTTAATCCTGTCAACTATACGCATCCTCTCCTTGCTGCCCCTGTAGCAGAGATAGCAAGTGAGGGAGGCAGAAGCTGGTGCTTGTGGAGAACTGTCTTTAACTTGGCTTCCCTTGAGCATCAGAACCACACCCCTGCTTTCACACTGCTGCCTCTGATAGAGAGGCAGCAGTGAGGAGGGGAAGCAGGAGCCAATTTGTGTGGGGAGCTGGCTTTTAAGCTGGCTCTCCATACATGCCAGCTCCGTGGACCTGCCTGCCCCCTTGCTGCCTCCCACAGAGGCAATGGGGGGGAAGGGCAGGTAGGAGCTGGTACTGGGAGGAAACCGCTTAAAAGCCAGCTCCCCTCAGCACTGGCTCCACAGTGCTGCCTGCTCTCCCTTCCCCCATGTTGCTGCCTCTATGAGAGGCAGCAGTGTGGAGGAGAGGGCAGGAGAGTCTTCTGCAGAGCAGGTTCTTTTCATGGGAAGCTCACCTCCTCCCCCTCCCCCCTGGTCAGGGGCTGGTGCCCACCCCCCATGCTGCTGCTATATGAGAGGCAGCAGCACAGGGTGGCAAGCAGGATCCGGTCTGCATGGGAAGCTGGTATTTAAACTGTCTCCCCTCGTAGACCAGCTTTCTCCTGTCAGTCTGCACTGCTGCCTCTTATAGAGGCAGCAGTGTGGGGTGGCAGTGGGCTTCCCGGGAGTGGAGTAGGGAGTGCACTGGCTGCTGGCCCTGCCACCAGGGGCTATCAAATAGTTGTGTAACCTCTAAAATTTGATGCAGTTACACGACTGTTCAGTTACACACTATCTAATATATATAGTCCTTTATACATCGTTTTTAACTAATAATTTTAATGTGTGTCATTATAAAAATGTAGTTCTCCTGAAGGCATTCTCCCTTGCATCCCCTTCTGCCAAGATTACTGTTCTTTATAGGTCTTCCTTTGGACACCTGCACAAGGGAAGCGGGAAGGTGTACTGAAGTTAACTCTTAGTTTAATGGGCCCAGTTTTCTACATGTATCACAACATGGACTATGATGTGTACTAGAGTCACTGTGCAGTGGAAAATAGAGTTTGTATTCATGCCCACTGTATATCAAACAGCTGACAAAAATTTATTTGAAAAGAAGTGAATAAGTTAATCCAGCTGGCGTTTTGTTAAAAAAGCTCCCTTTTCAAGAAGGGTTAATGGTTAGTCATATTTTGCAACTTAAACATTTGCTTTCTGATGCTGGGAGCACTTACTGATGTCAAAATCTGCTCCAGTCTTCCAATAGCTTGTTTCAGTGGATATCTTGTTGGCTATGGAGGATGTCTTGGCACTGCAATAAATTCCATTAGTTTCATCTAATAGTCTACTTTATCAATTTAATATCTTCTTAATTCTTTCTTTTCTTATTTTTTAATAAGCTGCATTTTTGTCAAGTCACTTTTCTAGACATTATTCATTAATTATTCATATAATTTTTTTCTAACTTCTTAATGTGCTCTGTTGTTGACTAGTTAGTGAGGCATGTGAACATGGCCTCTCTTCATGCAGTATTCTTTTCCTGCAAGCCTTTTATTTTTGATTCAGCTTCTCACCAGGGTTATACTCAGTATCAGTTCTGTTTTGTGACTAGGGATGTTAAATTTAGTTTAATCAACTAGTTGATTAATCGATAAACAGAGGAGCCACAGTTGGGAGCTAGCCCCGCTGCAGCTCTGCCTTTTGAATGTAAAAGGCAGAATTCCATCAGCTCTTAATACATTTAAAGGCTAATGTGCAGATGGAGGGACCCAGTGCAAGCTGGAACAGCTGATTCCTGGCTCGTGCAGGGTCCCCCCCAGCTGTGCACTAGCTTTTTAAATTTATTAAGAGCTGAGCAGTTGTTACTACTTTTAAAATACAAAGGCGCAGCGGTCCTGGCTCTGTCCTATCTTTTGCTGGTCCAGGACCTACCCCCGCTATGGCTCTGCAGTTTAAATGTAGTAGGAGGTGGGCTGCCTGCTCACCCAGCACCTTCCCTTATTGACTAATTGTGTAGTCAATACAAATTGTATCAACTACACGATTAATCAGTTACCCACTTCTTAACATCCTTAATTCAAAGTGGTTTTATTCCTTTCTAATCTGATATTTGCTGATATAGGTCCTAATGAATTTCAAAGAATTTTACCTGTAAAATTTTCAGTCTTTTCCCTTATTTTGATACAGTGATTGAAATTTAAACCATTTTATACCATCCACATAGATATACTGATGGGCCTATTTTCTCCGTTCTAATATTCATTACATTTAAATAATTAATCTCTGATTTCTGCCATCTTGGTGATCTTGCATGCATGAGTGCATCTAATTTTATGCATTTTTTTGAGGTTGGATAGGCTTACAGTGTGCTTCTGTTTTGTCGTTTATTTGATCATAAGTATATATTTTAAAAGTCTGATGCAGACATCTAATTTCTAGTTAATTAATACAGGTATTTTAATTTCTAGTTAGTAAAGAACCATATATGAGGTTGCTATGCATCCTTAACAATGTGATTCAGCTATGGTGTGCAGTAAACTCCCCAGTCCTCTTGATATCACTGCTGAGAGAGTAGAAAAGTTGATGTGTGTTGGAGTTAGAACTTTTGAATCTCTACCCCCAGAAACTCAAGAACTGAAAAACGGTAAGTAAATGTTCTCTCAACAGCTTGAAAATAACATCATGGTTGGGTCTTTTTTTAAGTGCACTAGGCATGACTGTCTTCAGGCCATGATTATCTGTAAAACCTCTGCTTCGTTGCTTTCATTTAATGTACATACTATAGTTTACCAGACCTTTGATTATGCTCTGCTAGAGTGTTAGGCATCTTGTTTTATCGTTCAGTGTATTTCTAAGATCTTGTTTGTTGCAGGTCTTTTACATGTCTCAAATCACAAATACAGTATGTTGAAGTCTTGAAATTATTTATACAGGGTTTTTGAGAGTAGGAGAAGTAGTATAAGCATTGTCTCCTGTTGTGTAGGACTAAATGCAAATGTAATGGAGAGGGAATTGAATGCTATATCAAATTAAATATATAGTGAGTAGGTATTTAAACTTACAGGTATATTAATCAGCTGTTGCCAGATGACGATCTGATGATGTAAAAATCGCATTCAGTTGAGTTTGCTGTGTCTTTCCATAACCTTTGAGGTTGTGTTAAAACAAATTAGTCTAGTGTACCTAGTAAAGCATGAAAAGGTAGTCTAGCAGACTGATCTTCATTTTTTTCCATAGGAAACTGCTGTGCATACCAAAGGAAGCTGTTGCTTTGAGTCTTGGGTTATATCCTGTATTGACAATAACTTAATAGTAGAAAGCTTGAAGATAGCATTAAGAATTTAAACCATGATTATATATAGATTTATTAGTGAGAAAATGCTTCATAATTTAAAAAAATGTGGAAATTAATTCTGGCATTTGAATAGGGAAACTTTTTTGTACTTAGTATTGCAGATGTTTATTAAGAATAGATATGATTTATCTATAGAAGTGAAAATTTGATCAGTTTAACTGTCCATTTTAGGAACTTTTTTTAACAACCTGCTGTAGTATAATATCTAAAAAACACAGTAGCACTATCACAAGGTCATTTCCAGCCAGACAGCTGCATAAGATTAGAAAATTCAGCCAAAAGAAAAAATAACGATCTGTGCATCATTTGTTTTCCTACATCTTAAACATTGTATATAATATTGGTGAAATAGTTACATAACTTTCTTAAGATGTAATCTCGATTTCATAATTTTACTGTTTTGGCAGAATTACATGAAAGATTACTTTTTTTTTTTTAACTTTCACATTTATAAAAGTCAAAAATAAAAGGTTAACTGGGCAACAACTTAATTTCAGTCAAATAGGAATTTTGCCATTAACTTCAGTGAGGCCAGGTTTTCATCTCAGCTACTGGCAGTACTGCCAGCCTCAACCAAACTATTTCTCCTTTGAAGAACTGTATCACCAATAACTACAGATCTTATTGATGGAACAGATGTTGGGTTCTTAAGCTCTGTAAGCAAAGCATATCAAGACTGATATACAGCACTGATTCAAATTATTAAAAATAACAGAAACTGAAATGACCCAAGATGAATAATTCTGCTCAGATGAAGGCAGTTATAGAAGAGCTATTAAGAGTTATACATGATTTTTTAAAGCTTCTACACTAATCATGAGCAAGCATATAGTGGTCCTAATCCTACAAGTACCTGTACATATACAAATCCTTCTTTGTGCATAGCCATACTGGAGTCAGTGGGACTCTGCGATTGGTGTAGGACAGTGGTGGGGAACTTTTTTTGGGCTGGGGGCTGCACACAAGTGAGAAGTCAAAAAAAACCAAAACCAAAACCAAACCCTCACTGATGTGGCCCCCAACTGAAAAGCAGAAAGACATTCCCCTTGCACACCAGAGCCTATGGGGGCCCAGGCTAGTATAGATTTTTTTGTGTTCCAGTCCCATGTGAGGACAGTCAGAGACTGGAGCACCAGCGTGGGCTCCCTAATGCTGATCAGGAGCTCCAAGCCTTGGGGGCCGGATCCAGGCAAGCCAAGGGCTGCATCTGGTCCTTAGGTTCCCCATCCCTGGCATAGGAGATCACATACATGGAAGCTTTTGCAGGATTGGGACTTGATTGTGAGGCAGTATGAAAATTATTTTGTACAGATAACGTTTGACTGCATACTGTTTCTCTTTGGGTATGTCTGCACTTGCACCCTAGTTCGAATTAGGGATACAAATGCAGGCATTCAAAATAGTCAATGAAGTGGGGATTTAAATATCGTGCACTTCATTAGCATGATCTTGCTGGCATGCTAGTTCGAATCACAATTGATTCGAACTAGGAAGTGCATGATGGGACGCGTTAGTTTGAACCAAACCCCTTGGTTCGAACTACCGTTACTCCTCAAAAAATGATTTCCTTACATCCTAGAAATTCTAAAGAAACTGTAATCAGATTTTTCAGATTTGTGTAAGAAAGGATGTAATCAAATAGGAAACCACACATTTTTGGGTTGTGTGAAAAGTTCAGTTTGCATTGGACCCATGTTTATTACAGAATGTAATAAAAAGAGCCCCAATATTCTATTTTAGGAATTATTCCACTAGAACTAAGAGTAGAAGGAAGATACATATTTAAAATGCTAATAACAGCTTGAAGTATGTCTGTGAACATTACTTAAATATTTACAATACTTGATTTCCATAGCAATATTAGGTTTGAGAGAATGTCAGAGCTCCATGCATATGGAGCTCATCATTGTCCAGTTAACAGTAAGGGTGTGAAAGTCCTATGCTCATCAGTTTTGTGCAGGGTTACATGCAGCCTTCCCTCCCCCCACTCTCCAACACTACTGCCTCTGTTTATGTTGGGGTGGGGGATCCAGTGCACACGAGAAGCTTGCTTATAAGCCATTCTTAATAAAGCAAGACATTAATATATTGACCTTCATAAACCAGATTGAAAATTATGGCAATAAAAATTCATCAGAGGAAATCTCCTTGTTATGTCTCTTGATTGTTTTCAGTTATGAAAATATAATTATGTTCCTTGCTATTTTAATGACAGTGTTTTATTGTTTCATAATAATAGTTCTGTAGGTTGTTTGGCCAAATAATTACAGGGTGTTTTCTGACTATATCAAGTAAAGAGAAGAGTTAATTTTCTATGTTTTATAAGAAATTTCTCTGAATAACTGACTTTTAGTATTTGACATTGCTTTTTACCAGTTTAAAAAAAATATTGTGTTTATAAATATGCAATAAATGTAAAGGCTGTTGTAGAATAATGAAGCTCATTTACAGTGGTCTCAAATATACAGAATTTGAGAAGAAGGAAATACTATACAAGCACCTCATATTGAGGTTTTATGTCAGTTGTCCTGCAAGGAGCTCTGTTTGCTCAACCTCCATTAAAATCAGTGGAGAATCATGCAGGCGCTAACCTCAGTGGAGAAACATGTAGACTAGATGTATGGGCATTCTAGTATTGTTCTTTTCTTTTCAGTGTAATCTAATCTAAGGTTCTAATTTTTTTTAAAATATTTTAATATTTAAGAATTTTCATTTTCACAAATTTTCTCTCTTGATTTCATGTTGTGAAACGTCTTGAAAGTATAAGCAAACTTATCAAATATTAATGTTAAGTCAATGCCCCTATTGCTGTTAATTTACCCTTTGACATGTTCTGTACAAAATAGAAGGAAAAAGTAATGTATGTATAATGCATACAAAAACAGGACATCTTGTATCCACCATTTTTTGAAAATGACATCTTGATTTCCTTTCACATTTTCTTAGTGTTCATGAAATGCAGCAGTGAAGATACAGCCCCAGTCATTGTCTTTGTATCCAAAATGTTTGCGGTTGATACTAAAACATTACCGCGCAACAAATCACGGTAAGAAAAATGTGCTGCATGGCCTTGTTACATTTTGATAACTAGATACCTCTAACTAAGGTTCCAATGCTCCAGTGGAACTAAGTTACAATGAAAATTTCAATAGATTGCTTTTGGTGAAAGAAAGTTATTCAGTATTCTTGTTTTAAATAATATCAAGTCATTCAAGCAAGGAGAAGGATCACTAAATAAATTTAAGACTGACTTTCATGCTTCATTTTGAAAATGTAGTGAACATGTTCAAGATGAATGTAAATCTTTTTGTCAAAATCCAGAAAGTACTCTTATTATTTGGAAAACATCATTATTACTCAAAACCCAGTCCTGGTACATATATTGCTGCTTATTATTATTCAAATATCACTATCTGATGGCATATGTGTTTGACACCCTTCAGCTGTGACAGTGGAGTGCTTTAGATGAAACTGTCTCCAATAATTTATCACATTGTACTAAGAAGAAATAGATTTCCTTGAGAAGTGCATGATAATGTGATTAGTTATAAGCTTTATTCTCTAAGTCTCTAGGGCATTTTAAATAGTTTACAACTCTATTAAGTAGCCTCTTCATATCTATATGATTATGAAAACTAGAACTGCTTTTTAGAATGAATGAATATTGATAGGGAAAACATTTAAGAACATACTTGTCCTCTTACTGTGTTAGATCTTTACCTATTACTGTTTCACATAGTCTTCACATGCTGCAACTTGTTCAATGACTTGAAGTTGGTGTGGCTTGTTGCCATATTTAATATATGAAAATTAGGACAACTGTTTCTATAGGGTTTTTTTCTTCATACAGACAATTCAGTGATGCTAAATCTCACATGAATTTTCTTTCCTTTACATTTTAATCTAACAATCTTCTAGATAACATTTGAATTCTTATATATTTTGCAAATGCTTTATGGTATATTATTTAGAGTGGGGATGTAAAAGAGTAGTCAATTAGTCTACTACCCTATGAGCCCAGGCTTACTGGGTAGTCAACTCCTGGGAAGCAGGAGCCAGTGCTGGGGGGAGATAGCTTAAAAGCTGGTTGCCTCCAGTGCTGTCTCCACGCTTCCACTTGTTCTCTCGCTCTCCCTCTTCCCCCCGTGCTGCTGCCGCCTCTGAGAGGCATCAGTGTAGGGAGGCCAGGCAAGGTGGTATGCTTACTAAGTATTTTTCTTTAGATTACGTGAATTTAAATAGTCATTCACAAATGGGAAATGATGTGTTGGATTTATGGAGAATGAATTTGAACACTAGATGGTGCTGTTTTGTTTATTTCATTGATTACAAATTATATCTGTAGTACATGACAACTGTTTGGATTTCAGCATGGAGTAATACTGATATATTTGCCAAAAACAAGTAAAAAGTGATAGTTTATAAACAAAAAGCATGTTATTTTTCATGTTTGTGATGCAATTTACCACCTTTGTAGAACTCTTAGTCTTAACTTTTAATTAAAATTCATTGTGACTATTTTGTCTTCCATTCTGTGAGCAGGCAGGCACCTTTCTTGGCCTCGTTTATAAATAGTCCTCACACTATGTAGACTCCAAACATTAAATATTTTCTCCCTAGAGAGCCACTCATACTACTCCGATATCTGAATGGAATATTGAGCTAGAAGAGCCCCCTTTATTCTTTCACAGCAGCATCTAAATCTGTTAATGGAATTTGGGTGCGGGGGTCAGACAAGTGCTGCTAGCATGTATGTAAACTGAACACACAAGCCCAAGAAATTAATAAATTAGTTTTAATTTCAAATTTCTGGCCAAAATTACAATTGTCAGTCCTATACTATAGGTGGAATCTGGGATCCTAAAAAAAAAAAGTGGGGGGAATGACTTTGCAAAGCTTATGGCTTCCTCAGACACCAGCATCCCTCTACGTTCTTCTTCCCCTTTCTTCTTACACTGCCTATTAGAACTCACTGTCCCCTGGTCTACACTAGATCAGGCAGGTCAACTTGAAGTATATCATCCAGCTACACAAAATATGTACCTGGAATTGGCTCACCTTTAAATGAGCCACCGCAGTGTCTACGCTGCAGGAGGCCGATGGGAGCTTCTTGCAAATCGAGGAGTAGATGGTGCCGGTGGGGCTGCCCTCAATATTCGATTTGGGGGGCTGGGTCTACGCTAGATCCACTAAATTGGGGGTAGGGAACTTAAGGCCCGGGGGCTGGATGCAGACTCTGGCTTGCCTGGATATGGCACCTGAGGCTTGAGCTCCTCCCCAGCATTGGGGAGCCCATGCTGGTGCTCTAGCCCTCCCACTGTGGTGCTGTAGAACACAAAATCAACTGGCCTGGGCTCATCTAGAATCTGGTGTGCAAGGGGAACATTGGGAGTGTCTTTCTTTGTATCATTTGGGGGTATGACAATGAGGGTTTGGTTTTTCTTTTTTCCTTGTCACCCACTGATTTTTCTGTGGGGGAGTGGCCTCGACCTGAAAAAGGTTCCCCTCCTCTGTGCTAAATCAAACGCTAGAATATTGACCTTCAGAGGGTCAATCTTCCCCATTGTGTGGACATGCCCTTTTATTCTTATGCCCCGTAGGTATTCAGACTTAGCCATTAATATCCCGCCCCTCCCATGTCTTTACATGTTTCTGATATTTGTAGTCACTTGTATCCTACATTTTATTCTTCAAGATATGTTCATGATATGTATTTTTTTAAAAGTCATGTTTCTAAAACATGTCATCTGTCTTTTAATGAATGATTTGTAACATGAAGACCTACCTGCATGAGTGATTGTAGTTTGTGCAAGTGGCACTTAGGTTCAAAAGATACTTGCACAATTTTAACGTTTGTCACATTATTCTCTTTAGTTGAATAAATTCTGCTAGTTGAATAAATTCTGCTAGTATTAGTTGAATACAGGTAGTCGCAAATAGGTTTATGTTTTTGCACTCTGGTAGATATTTAAAAACATAAATTCGTAGTTTTGAGTATCACTGAGGGTATGTCTACACTACAAAGTTAGTTCGGACTAACGGACGTTAGTTCGAGCTAACTTTCATAGGCGCTACACTAGCGCTCCGCTAGTTCGAATTTAATTCGAACTAGCGGAGTGCTTAGTTCGAACTAGGAAAACATTTTAAGAGGATTAAGCCTAGTTCGAACTAGCTAGTTCGAATTAAGGGGTGTGTAGCCCCTTAATTCGAACTAGTGGGAGGCTAGCCCTCCCCAGGTTTCCCTGGTGGCCACTCTGGCCAACACCAGGGAAACTCGTCTGCCCCCCTCCCGGCCACGGACCCCTTAAAGGGGCACGGGCTGGCAACGGTGCCCGTTCCAGATGCAAGCCTGCCAGCACCCAGCCAGCAGACCCTGCACCTGGCACGGATCGAGCCACCCACCTGATGCCCCCCAGCCCTCTCCCTCTTCCCGGGACCAGGCTGGTGGCTCCCAGGAGCTTGCCTGGGACCGCAAGAGGTGGGCACCCGCCCGGGCTAGTGCGGACATCGTGGACCTTGTCCACGATCTCCACACTAGGCACAGGAAAGTGGCCATCCAGGGCAGGAGAGCTGCCAGCCTGGCCACCCAGGAGCAGGTGTGCATGAAAATCAAGATGGTCCACTGAGACCACCGACCCTGAGCCCTGAGCTTACAATGGCCGCACTGGGTCAGACCAAAGGTCCATCTAGCCCAGTAGCCTGTCTGCTGACAGCGGCCAACCCTAGGGATCCTGGAGGGGAACCTGGGGCAGGGACACCACTCCTATCCCCTGGCTAATAGCGCTCCATGGACCCAAGCTCCATGACTTGATCTCACTTCCCTTTAAACTCTGTTCTAGTTCTAGCCTTCACAGCCTCCTGCAGCAAGGAGTTCCACAGGTTGACTCTTTGCTTTGTGAAGAACAACTTTCTGTTACTAGTTTGAAGTCTGCTACCCATTCCTTTCCTTTGGTGTCCTCTAGTCCTTCTTTATGGGAACTAATGAACTTTTCTTGATGCACCCTCTCCACCCAACTCCTGCTTTTAGAGACCTCTATCCTGTCCCTTATCCTGTCCCCTATTCAGATCTAAAGTATTTTAATAGATAATTAGCTTTAATTAGCCAATTAAAGTGTTTAACTTGGTTGATAATTGTATTGTTAAATTACACCTTTATTTTTGCTAAGACTTCTTCTCATTATCAAAACATGGAGGATTAGTGAATTTACAGGTAAATTGATTTCACAGTGAAATAAGTGATCTGATTTAAACATGGAAGTTATGAACATTGGTGGCTTAGCCAATTATAAATTCTTTTATATGTTATGTCTTATAATTTAAAGCTAAAACATTCCTGAAGAATCCACAAATGAATGTGATTTATTTGTAAAGAGAAAAACATACCTAAATGAAGCAAAGTATGGTCCTTATAAAAAATGTAATTTTGCATAGATATATTTAAGAATCTGTTTGTGTTCTGTATACGCAGTTAACAACAAAAATATTCACACTTAACAACAATTTCTATAAAATATTACTAACTGTGAGATTAAGAAGTCAGATCAAGAGTCTGATCAAGCAGTTCCAGTATGTTGCTCCAGCACTCTTAACTCGGCCACATTGCACACAGCACATCTCTGTGTGTAAAAATAAGAAGAGTAATACAATTTCAGAAGAATGGAAAAAACTAAATATATGTAATAGAAGAATGTTAATATTGGGACATCATTAACTGGGGGTTTTCTGGTGTTTTGCTGCTGGATCTTCCCACCTTAATATCTCATTAATACAAAGTTTTTTGTATTTAATTTCCCGGGTGTTTTAAAAGTTGGAGAATTTCTTGGAGATTTTACCCTTTTCTGAGATTTTACCCAAATGTTTCCATCAGGATAGTAGGGCGGTACTTTCCTAACTGCTATAGCAAAAAGGTAGAATCCTTCTAAAAGCAAGTCTTCTGTAGCTGTAACAGCTTCCCAGATTTGGGAAAGGGTTATGTGGATAAATTTTTGTGGAGGAGACACAATTTGCAATCTCTCTGTCAACCGTTTTTCCTCCTGCACTGCCTAGGTCATGTCTTCCATTTTGGGGAACATTGATGCTGCTGCAGTCGATCTTCCAGGGTTTGATTTCACAGATATAGTAAAGACTACAGATGTTAAATTTTGATTAATCAGGAATTTCCATGGATTACTTGATTAGTTGATAAGGGGATGGAGTGCTCGCTATTCCAACTGCGCCTCTGCCTTTGAAATGTAGTAAGAGCTGTGGGCTCTTACTACATTTCAAAGGCAGAGGCGCAGTTGGAATAGCGAGCACTCCATCCCCTTATCAACTAATCAAGTAATCCATGGAAATTCCTGATTAATCAAAATTTAACATCTGTAGTCTTTACTATATCTGTGAAAGTCCCACTTGCCCTGGGTTCCTACTGCACTGCCTTTGAAATGTAGCTAAAGCCCCATGGGGCTCTTTCTAAATTTAATAGGTAGAGGCATAGCAGTCAGACCGACATGAGTGGGGACTGCTTCAGTCCCCGCTTGCACCATTTCCTGCTGCATCTCTGCCTCCCCGACCACTTTCGTCCCCCACCACGGAAACGGTGTTGGTGGGGAGGAACCAGCTTTTAAGCTGGCTTCCCTCAGCACCAGATCCTGCTCCCTCCTCCTTGTTGCCTCTGATACAGAGACAGCAAGATGCTGGGGAAGTGACTAGTCGATTTGACTACCTGATAAGCCTATGCTTACAGGGTAGTCGACTAGTCGCTTACATCCCTAGTCAAGACTTGCTAAATTGAACCTCAAAGAGTGCCCCCGTCGGTGGCCAATGCTCCTGCAAGGAGTAAGGGAAACTGATGGGAGCATTTGCTCTTATCATCCTCACAGTGGGAGGCTGGTATGGAAACTTGAATTAAGTTATGCTGACTACAGCTACATAATTATTGTAGATGGAGTTACATATGTTAATTTGAATTTCCCCTATAGTGTAGACCTGGCCTTAGTCTCCATTCACTGCTCCCTCACTTACTGCAGTACCAGGTAGAGAAGGTTCTTCTGGGTCCAGGATACAACCGTGCTTCAAGCGTTGTTAAATTCCCATCCTGTTCAGAAGGAAAATTATTTAAATGGAGAGAACATGGTGTTGCTTAGGAATAGAAAGAAACAGGGTTGTGGAGAGACTTTAGATCTAAAGTTAGTACATTTGTTTAAAAAAAAAAAAAGGAACAAAACTAAACTGAAATAATAAACTGGAGAAATTAAATAAATTAAAACAGGACTTATATAGGCTGGAAATAGACAAGACTAATTTGGCTGTCTGTCTATATCCCAAAGAAAGTTTGGGTACATCTACACTTGCTCCCTAGTTCGAACTAGGGATGCAAATGTAGCCGAACGAAATTGCTAATGAAGCGGGAATTTAAATATCCCATGCTTTATTAGCATAATCTTGCCCGCGCGCTGTTCTGCTTGCCAGCTGATTGGAACCAGGAAGTGCATTCCAGAACATGTTAATTCGAATCAAACCCCTTGGTTCGAACTAATGTTACTCCTCAGCTGCCGGCCTACAAGCGGGGCTGGAGGAGAGGGGGTGAGGCGCCCGGATGGCTGCGCAGGGCTTCCCCTGCCTCCCTGCAAAGCGGCAGAGGGTTTGCTGCTCGCTGCACCGTTTCCCGCCAACCCCCCTCGCTGGACGCAGTGCTGGTCCCAACTGACCCACCACAGGAGCATACTCCCAACCCAATCCCCGTCCCTTCTCCTCCCGTTCCCTTCCCCAGAGCCAAACACCTCCCCTCCCTGCTGTAACCCAGTTCCCTTTCTCCCCCAACCTTATGTCCTGGTCCCAAGGCAGCTGCCTGTGCTCAGCGGCTGGCTGCTAGCAAGTGCAGGCTGGAGCCGCGAGTGCACATATGGCTCACAGCAGCTTGGCTGAAAGAGCAGCTGACTGGAGCACTTCCATGTTATTTCGGGGACGGTCGTGTTATTAAAAAACGTTCCCTAAAAAAAAATCGTGCTATTCCGAAAATGTGTTAAGTGGGAATGTGTTAAACGAGTAATTATGTATAAGGTTCTTCCTTTTTTATGACTATTGCAAGTACTGTGGATCCCATAATATTCCTACCACTTTCCTCAGAATGATATGAAAGATACTTTCTGCTTAATCTGCATGAAATCAGCACTTTTCCATAGATATCACTATGAAATCTGTACTTCCTTTACAATTCTCCATGAAATTACTATGATAATTGCTTCTCTTTCTTCTAGTTGCTTGTTTGCATGTCTTAAACCTAAAGGTTGGTGTATACTTGAACTATTAATGCTTTCATTTTCCTGTCTGATTTTCCCTAAAGATTATAATTAAAGAAATATAAACAGTTACAATATGCTACAATTTAACTAACAACATTGTAAATGCATTTAATCAAAAGAACATTTATAAACCTCTATAGCCATGGTGTCCAACCAGTTCACTGTAGCAAACTAGCCACACTCTACCGGACAAATAGCCACACCCAACCGACCAAATACCCACATGTGGCTAGTGGCTAGCTTGTTGGACACCACGGCTCTAAAATATGTGAAAACTCTTCTTGTGGGTAAATTGATGTTTGGCTTTAAAGGGTTTTGTGCTTTGTAATACAGCTACATTTGTTACTCTGAGCTAATCTGTTCCTGATTTGCATTTGTGGTTTGCTCGGGACCTTATTTAAGTAATTTTTAGCAATGAGCACTGACCCTATTTAGTTGATGATCCTATCAGAATTACAGGCTAACATTTGGGCATGACACCTACTTATATAATTAACAAAGTAAAATATAGTCTTGGAAAAGGGAAAAAATCTTTTTAATGTCTTTGCTTTGAAATAGATTCTTAATTTGTATGGAAACATGTGACATTTGGGTCCAAGTAAAACATATGGAACTGATTGAAGGTACAGTTTGTATTCATGGCTGGAATTTGAATTCATGGTTTGTATTCATGGCTGGAATAGGGGCTCTTGTACATTTCAAAGGAGGAATGCGGAACTCTGCATGCAGCTTGGGGCCAACAGGAAGTCCCGCTGACTCTGGGCTGCATGTGGGCTGACCCCAGGTTCCATGCTGCACTGCTGATTTGAAATGCCACGCAGGATCTGGGGTCAGCTGGGAACTCCCCAGCTGATCCTGGCTCTGCGTGGCCTTTTCACGGAACCTGGGATCAGCTGGGGATTCCCCAGCTGATCCTGGGTTCTTCAGAAATGCCGTGTGGAGCCCAGGATCAGCTGAGGAGTCCCAGCTGACTCTGGCCTTCACTCGGTGCTACCATCTTGAAATGCCGCCTCGGCATTTCAAAGGGGTAGCACCGCACAGCTGAGCCCAGGATCAGCTGTGAGGCATTGCTGCTTTGAGGTGCCCCTTCTTCACTCCCTTTTGCTGCCTCTATCTGACATATTCCTTATTCTACTCTCATATCTACTCATGAATATTCCCTATTCTACTCACATATCTATCTGACAGAGGCAGCAAGGGAGGGGAGGGGGAATCGATTAGTCAGCTAGTCGACTAGTCAACTAGTCCTTAACATCCTTGGTTCATTAATGACACCTAGTTCTGTGTCCTTCATTTGCTAAAGCATGTGAAAACTTTCTTGAGATTAGACTATTTGTCGGCTTCCTGCCACACTTCTTTATTACCACACTCCTCAAGGCTCTACTTGTCTAAACCTTGCCATGCAGGTAGCAATCAGTGAACCGGAATGCTCCACAGATATCTTTCGCTCTTGCTGTGGCACTTACAGAAATTAAGTTTGTGCGTCCTTAAAAGAGAGAGTGTACACTCTAGCTTGCTCAGTTAGCAGAGGAGTCACACTTCACAATAATACACAGAATTGAGAATAACAATGGATAAGTTCATTAATAAAGAACAGACATTAAAGAACTGGTATGGTTACAAAAAAACAAAAAATAATGCATGCTATCTAGTGTCTGAAGTTCAGCAGATTATAATCTTGGCCTCAGGCAATTTCTGACTTGAGTCTAGCTGGTTAGAAGATTTACCTTTCACAGATTCCAATGGCTCTTGTCTCTTTTGTCCCTTAAGTGATGAGTAACTCAAATGTCTTTTGGCTCTGCTTATATTCATCCAAATTCCATTGTCTCTGCTTCAAGATCCAAGAAGTTGGTCTGGATGCAAACTCTGTTGCCCAGCATGTTTACCTAGCTATCTCCTCTGCCACTTGTTAGCTTTGTTTACTTTATATGTAAATATACTTGTCTTATTCTCTGCTTATAATCAGATTGGTCAGACAGGTAAAGTTATATTCCTTTGTCTAGTCTGTCAGGCTTGATGTATGGGCTGCTTCCCAAACCAATTTAAAGAACATATTTCCAGCACAAATATATAAGTATTTGACCTGTCAAAGCTGTTCCCCACTCTGGCATTCTGAGTGCAGAAGGTGAGGGCCCTCAAGAGACTTTTAAAACATCTTGCCACTAAAAGCTTATGTTTAAAAACTCTCCAAAGTCACGGATTCCTGGCCTTTCCTTGGTATTGCTACCACCACCCAAATGCAAAAAACTCCTTTGAGAACTCAGGAAGACTCATTTGGGAATTTCTCCTGTGGGGTACTCTCAAGCTCTTTAACCCTCCTTCTGGAGAGAGATTGAAAAGCTAATTTTTCATAATAGTTGACTTTGCAGTCTTAAGCACACACACACAGAACCTCCTGCCTTCTAGGACACAGGAATCATATCATGGTCTTTAAAAAGTGATTTTTATTAACAAAAGAAAAAAACATACTTGGTGAAACATTATTTGATTGTTAGGTGTTACAGAGTAATTGAAAAAAGAAAGATTAAATATAGAGAATTGTTTCCCTGGGATTCAGTTTGGGGAGTTACAGTGAAATGGGGGTAATTTACATGTGCTCAGCATAGAGAAGTCCAACAAACCCCAAAATAAAGAAAATAGCCTGATTGCATCTGACTAAACATTCCCTATTCTACTCACATATTTGTTGTTCTAAGATTTAGTCCTTCCTTATGTGAGGATATTGCTTAATCCTCCATGCCTGTTTTCCTGGCATAACTCATGTCTCCCAGGCTCTCTTCTGGTCACATAAAGACTGGAACAAGAAGGTCACTACTTCCCATTTAAAAACTCACACTGTTTTCATTGGCTTTCTTGGCTTCCTGCCAACTCATTTTCTGCTTCCTTAGCATTCCTGGAGACTCTCTAGGACTATGGTCACCAACCAGTAGATCGTGATCTACCGGTAGATCTCAGGGGCTCTAAGAGTAGCTCTTGAGCCCTCTCTGAACTGCGCGCCTGCGCAGTACATTTGCGTTAGATTTCCTCATTTGAGGAGCAGCTACTCACCGAGCAATAACACAGGTGAGTAGCTGTGAGGAATGGTGGAGCTGGGAGGTCGGGAGGGCTGAAACACCCCAGCCAGCTGACTGTGGCTTTCAGCTGAGAGAGGCTGCCCCCGCGCTCCAGGTGATAAGCGGCTTCTCCTCTGCGCCTGCCCACGTGGAGCTTGGTGCATGCTGGCTGAGCGCCATGGCCAGCTGGCCGGGCAGCCGCTTCTCTTCCCTCCAGCCCGGCTGCCCTGTGCTCAGCCCAGGGAGGCTGCGTCTAGCTCCAGCTGTGCTGGAGCAAGCTTCCTGGGAAGCCGCCCGATCAGCCTCCTCTGGGCTGAAGGCCACAGCCAGCTGGTCAGGCAGCTTCTTCTCTGCAGCAGCCCACATGGAGCGTGATGCACCCTGGCTGAGCACCACTTCCAAATGTTGAAAAACCTCTTCCAAATGTTGGAAAAACCTTTTTTAAAAAGGCAGCAGCATAAGGATTGGGGATAGCAAGTGATGGAGAGGAGGAGAATAGAGAGGGTGGGGCTTCAAGGAAGGGGCGGAGCTTCAAGGAAGGGGCGGGGCGGTAGATCTTGGCTTGGTCTGTCATTTAAAAAGTGATCTTGGGTGTAAAAAGGTTGGAGACCACTGCTCTAGGACCCACTGTCTATGGTTTTAACCCTTGCAGGCAAGACAATTAGGGTTAGGTTTCAAGAGTTTCATCACTTGGAAAAATACTTTAGTTAACTGAATGGCTGGAATGTCCAGAAAGAGTATTACTCTCCCATTCATCACAGCACCCAATCCTTAAATACATCACTCAGTGGTTTTTGGAACCAGTGTGCTAACAGTTTACATATGATAACTTACATGATGACTTCTAGATACTTATTATGACAACAGTATGTTGGAGATGATAAGGGTGCCCGGATTGATATAAGCGACAGTGTGGTGGGCCCTCTACCAGTTGCCAGTAGGAGACTTTTAGGGCCACAATCACACATTTATAGTTTCCCTTGCATACTAATCATAGTTCATATATGAAGCATACTAATACTTTTCTATATGATACTCTGTAGCTTATTATTGAATTTTGAGATCTATATCTTAAAATTAAATTTAATGATGGCTGCTATACAAGACAACATGACAACTGCACCAATGACTGATTGACTAATAGGCATGAGCAATGTCTTGATCAGAAATCTAGTCCGGCTTCTGGGAAAGAGGAGGGTGCTGGTTTTTGCACTAGAGTGTGTATGGAAGTGTACCTTTAGTATTAACCACTGATCAAATGACTACCGTATTTTCCGGCGTATAAGGCGACTGTGCGTATAAGACGACCCCCTAATTTTCTAGTTAAAACATAGGTTTTCGTCTTATACTCGCCGTATAAGACTACCCCCCCTTAAGAGGCCAACCGGCAGCGCCCCAGCACCCCTCCGCCTCCCCGGCTTTGCTCCCGGTGTCCCTGGTCTGCTGGAGACAGTCCCCAGCAGACCAGGGGCACTGGGAGCAAAGCCGCAGCAGACCAGGCTTTTGTTGTGGACCCTGGGGCAGAGCAGCTGGGGCGCTGCCGGTTGGGCTCTTAAGGGGG